AATTACACCTTTATTGAGAAAAAATTCAATAACACCCCTTTCTTTTGAACTATAAATATTTTATATTCTTTTTCTTTCTCATGTTACACTTTGCACCCAACAAATCGTGGGATTCTTGGTGAACTAAGGAATTTCGGGACGAAATTCTTTTAAGGAGGGTAGATTGTGAGATCCCAAATTTTTAGAAGTAGTTTAAGTGTAAAATATTATGAGTTTGATGTGAAAGTATAAGGAATAGTTAAGTTTTTGTGGTTGATATATATAATAAGTTAAATAAAGGGGAGTAAACTATAAATATCTTAACATTTATACTTCTTTGGTCTTCACCCACACGAAGACTTTGAAAAAAAAAAAAGAGACAAGACAAAGAAAGAGAGAGAAAGAATAAAGAAATGGGATTTCAGGTAGCATTGAATATATTGTAAAAAAAGTCGTGGAAAGATTTTTTTTAACACTTGCCAATTAATTTGGCAGAAGACGTCTCACCTTCCTAGCATATAAATATAGCCAAAAATAAAAGAAAATGGTGGAGGTCTTGAAAGATAAACCAAGAGACAAAGAGAGAGTTGTCTGGCAGAAACAAAGAAGAGGAAAATGAGAAGTATATGGCTACCCGAAAATAAGAAGAATGAAACGGAAATCAGAGTTATCGAATTCAAATAATGATTCTGAGGTACGGGGTGATATACAATATGCTCTTTTTAAATCTCTTTGCAAAGAGTATTTCTTTGATTATCTTTTGATTTGTATTTCAACTTGTGTTATCATTATTTTGGAATTTCGATTGAATATCGTTGAATATTTTGATCTCATTGATCGCAAAACACCCGTGGGATCGGGTTGAGGTGGGATGATTGGTGAGGTGTCAGATCGGTTTTAAGATTCTGCATGACGTGTGATATGCAAATATGCTATTTGTATCTGTTGATTAAGATACTTTGTGAAATTCGATTATTTGTTATTCAATATCTTTTAGCATATTTTTCCTCGTCATATTGCATACTTCCCCGTTTTATTTAATATTTTCAGGTTGATTTTAGAGAAAAAATCGGAACGAGATAATCAGAGTATTAAATACGATGAGGTGTCAATGTAATTGATGTTTTAATCCTGTTGAGAGATTTATTTATATTGACAGATTTATTTGTATTGGGAGATAATTTTGATAAATAAAATTTTATTGGAACAATTCGTGCTCTGTTATTTTTATTTGGGTATTTTTATATCAACTAATGTCTTCAAAAAAAAGGAAAAAAAATCGGGGTGTTACAAGTGGTATCAAAGCTGAGGCTTCAAATCTTATGGGATTTGTGGAAAGTGAGTTCACCGTGTTTTCGTTGTGAGATCAAACAACTAGGACAAACAAAAAAAAGACTTTCAGTTTAGTGAATTGAAAGAAAGTAAATGTAATTACACTTTTATTGAGAAAAAATTCAATAACACCCTTTTCTTTTGAACTATAAATACTTGATATTTTTTTTCTTTCTCATGTTACACTCTGCACCCAACAAATTTTGGGATTCTTTGTGAACTAAGGAATTTCGGGAGGAAATTCTTTTAAGGAGGGTAGATTGTGAGAACCCAAATTTTTAGAAGTAGTTTAAGTGTAAAACATTGTGAGTTTTGATGTGGAAGTATAAGGAATAGTTAAATTTTGTAGTTGATATATATAATAAGTAAAATAAAGGGGAGTAAAGTATAAATATCTTAACATTTATACGTCTTTGGTCTTCACCCACGTGAAGACTTTGAAAAAAAAAAAAAGAGAGAGAGACAAGACAAAGAAAGAGACAGAAAGAATAAAGAAATGAGATTTCAGGTAGCATTTAATATATTGTAGAAAAAGTCGTGGAAAGATTTTTTCAACACTTGCCAATTAATTTGGCAGAAGACGTCCTACCTTCCTAGCATATAAAGATAGCCAAAAATAAAAGAAAGTGGAGGAGGTCTTGAAAGATAAACGGAGAAATAGACAGAGAGGGAGTTGTCTGGCAGAAACAAAGAAGAGGAAAATGGGAAGTAGAGGGCTACCCGAAAATAAGAAGAATGAAACGGAAATCAGAGTTATCGAATTTAAATAATGATTCTGAGGTACGGGTTGATATACAATATGTTCTCTTTAAATCTCTTTGCAAAGAGTATTTTTTTGATTATTCTTTCATTTGTATTCCAACTTGTGCTATCATTATTTTGGAAATTTTGATTAAGTATTATTGAATATTTTGATCTCATTGATCGTGCTCTTGATCTCATTAATCGTGTTCTGCGGATATTGAGACGGGATTATGACAGCCAATAGCCGATGCATCGTCAACCAAGACACCCGTGGGATCAGGTTGAGGTGGGATGATTGGTGAGGTGTCAGATCGGTTTAAGATTCTGCATGACGTATGATATGCAAATATGTTATTTGTATCTATTGATTGAGATACTTTGTGATACTCGATTATTTGTTATTCAATGTCTTTTAGCATATTTTTCCTCGTCATATTGTATACTTCCCCGTTTTATTTAATATTTTCAGGTTGATTTTAGAGAAAATATCGGAACGAGATAATCAGAGTATTAAAGACGAGGAGATGTCGATATAATTGATGTTTTAATCCTGTTGAGAGATTTATTTATATTGACAGATTTATTTTTATTGAGAGATAATTTTAATAAATAAAATTTTATTGGGACAATTAGTGATTTGTTATTTTTATTTGGGTGTTTTTATATTAATTAACGTCTCCGAAAAGAAGGAAAAAAAAATCGGGATGTTACAAGTTGCGTGTTAGAAAATGCATGAGTGCTGTGAAACAGGGCACACTTGGGATTCTTTTTGTATTTTTTTTTTGTTTTTGTTTTCGGTTCAACGGTTAATGGTGTCCGGACCAGCTCACATGTATTTTGACTAATCATCTCTCCAGTCTGGTTCTGAGATTTAGGTATTTACGAGAAATAAATTTTTTATTGCCTAACCCCGAAAAAATTTTAAAATTCAAACTCAAAACATTTGGGTATATAATTTATCCTTATTACCATTTGAACTATCCTTGTAATTATGCTTTTTGTATCCACATATGCATACATTAACTTCTACAAGCAACACACAAAAAAAAAAAAAGAAAATCCTTCTACAAGCGACAAAATATATTCCTCTCACCTTTTTAGTCCTTGGAGTTACTCGAGTTGCCACTATAAAGAAAAAACAAGAAGATAAAAAAATATGATACCAATATTTTTCCAGTTCCATCACAAATTTTCCCACAAAATACGCAAAAAATTCAGTTTAGATACTCTCCAATGATCCTGATATTTTCTCGGATCACTGATGTTATTGGAACATAATTGATGGATATAATTTGAGGACATAATGAATTGTCACCAATAATGGGTCCCATTACAACATTAAATGAATTCATTATTATTTCATTGATGACAATTCATTATGTCCTCAAATTATATCTCTATATTATGTTTCAATAACATTACTCTTTCTCGGATAGACTTATTTAGGGACTGTTGAATATCCAGATACCAAGTCTGTTACATGGATAGAAGAGTTAGGAGGATGACTACAATGCGCCATGACAAACTTAAAAGTGGCCTCGTCGTTTTAACCACAGTTTCGTTTGGGCCGATAATTTTGTTCAATATCAGTGGCTCAAGGGCCTTTCTCGCTACCACGAATGTTATTGTCACTCCAACTTACCAGATGAGGAACAAGACGAGCAGTAGTCTTCTATAGATTAGATGGGGGTTGGAAATCATCATGTCCAAATTCAAGAGGTCCAAAATGTTATTGTCACACCAACTTGATGCCACAAATGTTATTCTCAATTATTCAGTTCATCTTGATTCTTCAAGTTAACCAATAAATTAACTTGTTATTTCTACAAAGCCACAAAGAGTTCATTAAAATAAATTAGAATTTCAGGGTATAATGAAGTAAAACAAGGCAGATCTCTCATTAAAGAAGGAAATAGAACTACAAGTTTCCTCTTTTGTTTTCTACTACTCAATAAAAAATAATTGGGTTAATTATATTGGAGGTCCCCAAAAGATGAAGTTTTTCTCATTTTAGTCCTCAATATTTCAATTGCATCATTTTAGTCCATAAAGTATTGAATATATTTTTATATGATCCCTTAAACAGACAACGTCCAAATTGTTAATAATTTTTTATTATAAACTTAATACCAAAATTTGGGTAGAAAAATAATTTGGATAACTCTTGACTAAATTTTTACCCTAATTTTGGTCAAAGAGCTACTCAAATTATGCAGTTTTAATCATAAGTTATCCAAATTTTGGTCAAGAGCTACCTACACTACATATTTTTGGTCAAGAGCAACACAAATTTGTTGAAGAACTACCCAAATTATGTTTTGCCAATATTTATGTATAACATGACAAGTTTATGATAAAAAATCATTAGCAATTTAGATGTTATCTGCTTAAGGGATTTCTTATAAGCATATTCAATATTTTATGGACCAAAATGATGGAATTGAAATATTGGAGACCAAAATGATGTAATTGAAATATTAGGACCAAAATGAGACAAACTCTTTACTTTAGGGAACCTCCAATACAATTAACCTCAAAAAAATTATCAAACCATTGTGTCTCATTAGTTTTTCTTGATGGATCATTAATCATCCACATTAATTTGATAAATTTTTTGATAAACTTTTTTTGATTAGCACTTCATTTCAAAATTTTGCTATGTTTTCTCTTCTATACCCTCCAAACCGAACAGCTAGACTAATATCTTTTCAGCTCAACCCTTTGGCCTTTTTACCATTCAACGAATTACCCTGAAAAAAAAATTTTGCAAACTTTTTTGACTTCTGTCCATCTTTATGTTGATGCCTTAGGGACTGAAAAGCAGCGAGAACGAAAAAAGGGAATGGAAGAAAGCATAGCCTTAAAAGCAAAAATAATATAACTCTGTAAGTTCATTGATAAATATCATAAAGGCTCATAAACATTGACACGAGTTTCAATTTAAGGCGAAAGTGGTACCAGTGATGGTGGTGGAGGCAATAGTGAGCCAATGGTAGCAACAGTGATTGTTTGGTTGGGTGGCAGCGACAGTGCTAAGATTGTAGTGGTTGCAGGGGTGGTGAAGGTGGAGGTAGTGGTGGGGGATAATGGCTTGATGGTGATTGCCATAGTGATGGTAAAGGTGGGGTAGTTCTAGTTGGGTGGTGGAGGGAAAGGGAAAAACTTGAAAACTGCAAGCTTCACACTTCGGCTGCTTGTATTGTCCAATTCAATGTTTACATTTTAGTACATACCAAAAAGTTTTCACATTATAAGATTCAATGTTTAACACTTGAAATTTGATATTTAGTTTTCAATACTCAATCTATAGTTTTATCAGAAAATATTTAACTCTGTGGGTTCTTCATCAAGCCAAAAATCATAAAAAAATTTTTTTACAGGAGTTTGGATTTGCATATCAAAGACTGTTTTGCCTAAATTTTGTCTTAGAACTCTTGAAATCGTAAGAATTTGTTCCTTATGTTTAACTCCCGCGTTAAGCTATACATAAAAGCATTAGTTCATGAGCAAAATTGAAATAAGTGTGTCGAGTTTTCTAGTATATTTTAATGGAAAATTGGGCAGAAAAGATTGGTTGTTACAATTCTAATTGTTTACGTATAAATTTTAACATTTAATATAATTAGGAATCTAGTTTACTAGTTTGACTAGAACTATGCTATTATAAATAACAAATCACGTAACCTATTAAGAAGCTCTTAATGATTTTAAATAATATTCAGAGAATTGTTTTCATTGATTCTGATAGCTTTAATATTCTTAGTAATCAACAAAGTGAAATTGAAGAACTCTAACATGGTATTATCAAGGATAATGAGCCAGCTTAAGCTTTATCATGTTATCCAATGTTAATTTAGTTACGGTTTCTGCATCACGTTTATTTTATAAAAATATCATTATAAGACGATCAATACTTCTTAGAAGTAGAAATTACTAATTTATTAATTACTCATAAAGTCTTTATTATAAGTTATATTTATCATGTTCTCAGTCAGTAGTAAAAATATAATATAGTTTGTTATAGAAATATGCTAGACACATTCATCTCCTAATTTTTCAAGTTTTACCATATCGTTATTCATATCATTTGGTAACCGTATATATATTCGTACTTCGAGGACCAAAATTTACTAATCTAAATATCCATTATGGATTGAATCATTGAAACACAAATTTAAAAAATTTTGTGACTAAAGTGACACAAGTAGAAAAATATATAAGAACCAAAATAAAACAAACCACATGCTTATGCGAGTGAATAAGAATGACCTCATAAATATGAACAATTGCACCAAGGTGNTGATTGTTTGGTTGGGTGGCAGCGACAGTGCTAAGATTGTAGTGGTTGCAGGGGTGGTGAAGGTGGAGGTAGTGGTGGGGGATAATGGCTTGATGGTGATTGCCATAGTGATGGTAAAGGTGGGGTAGTTCTAGTTGGGTGGTGGAGGGAAAGGGAAAAACTTGAAAACTGCAAGCTTCACACTTCGGCTGCTTGTATTGTCCAATTCAATGTTTACATTTTAGTACATACCAAAAAGTTTTCACATTATAAGATTCAATGTTTAACACTTGAAATTTGATATTTAGTTTTCAATACTCAATCTATAGTTTTATCAGAAAATATTTAACTCTGTGGGTTCTTCATCAAGCCAAAAATCATAAAAAAATTTTTTTACAGGAGTTTGGATTTGCATATCAAAGACTGTTTTGCCTAAATTTTGTCTTAGAACTCTTGAAATCGTAAGAATTTGTTCCTTATGTTTAACTCCCGCGTTAAGCTATACATAAAAGCATTAGTTCATGAGCAAAATTGAAATAAGTGTGTCGAGTTTTCTAGTATATTTTAATGGAAAATTGGGCAGAAAAGATTGGTTGTTACAATTCTAATTGTTTACGTATAAATTTTAACATTTAATATAATTAGGAATCTAGTTTACTAGTTTGACTAGAACTATGCTATTATAAATAACAAATCACGTAACCTATTAAGAAGCTCTTAATGATTTTAAATAATATTCAGAGAATTGTTTTCATTGATTCTGATAGCTTTAATATTCTTAGTAATCAACAAAGTGAAATTGAAGAACTCTAACATGGTATTATCAAGGATAATGAGCCAGCTTAAGCTTTATCATGTTATCCAATGTTAATTTAGTTACGGTTTCTGCATCACGTTTATTTTATAAAAATATCATTATAAGACGATCAATACTTCTTAGAAGTAGAAATTACTAATTTATTAATTACTCATAAAGTCTTTATTATAAGTTATATTTATCATGTTCTCAGTCAGTAGTAAAAATATAATATAGTTTGTTATAGAAATATGCTAGACACATTCATCTCCTAATTTTTCAAGTTTTACCATATCGTTATTCATATCATTTGGTAACCGTATATATATTCGTACTTCGAGGACCAAAATTTACTAATCTAAATATCCATTATGGATTGAATCATTGAAACACAAATTTAAAAAATTTTGTGACTAAAGTGACACAAGTAGAAAAATATATAAGAACCAAAATAAAACAAACCACATGCTTATGCGAGTGAATAAGAATGACCTCATAAATATGAACAATTGCACCAAGGTGAAGAAATACATTAGTGACCCCCATAATGACTTAATTACTCTAGGCACTTAGATAGACAAGGAAATGAAAAAATGGTGCTATTGTACATGAACGTCTAACCAATCTTAATTTTTGCTTAGAAAAGTCAATACTTTTTTTTGCAAGTCACTAATACTGCTGAGTCAAGTCGTCTCTGCTACTGATAAGATTTAAATCAGTTCTTGTTAAGGAAAAGAGATAGATTATGACTAGTTTTTATGGCTTAATTGTGATGTCTTCTAGAAAACATCAGATGGTGAGGCTTCACAACTCTGAAGCCAAAAATGTGGCTCCATTGGATTTGAAACTAAAATTATGGGTAGATAATATGAATATGGGATATAGATACAATATGATATGGATACGATCATATCGGTAAAATATTAAAAAAAAAAAGATACAACTATGGTAAGATATGTCAATATGTCAATAAATAATCATATTTCTAGATTACATATATTATACTTTTTGTTATAAAATAGTTTCGTTGGCATAGGTGTTTAATATTTTTAACTATATGCATATTAACTTTATCTTTCAGGTATCTTGATAGAAAATTTTTTTAAAATGTCAGACATATCATATATAAAACAAATTGTTTATAGGATATTCAAGTTAATTTCTCGTTTTTACTTTCTAGATGGGTAAAATCTTAGTGGTATGCTATAAAAGACTCTTGTTCAATAAATAATTTTAACTTTAAAGAAGCATATATACCTTCAAAGTAAAATTGGTTATTTAAAGCAACTGGAATCAACATTTAACTAGCTAGGTTAACAATTTTTTGTATATTATTTTGTATGTAAGTGAAGAGTTGGGAGGATGATAGCTACGCTCCCCAACAAAGTTAACTATAGAAATGAGAAGCAGGATTAGGCAATCTGTTGCTTTCAAATTAAATGATTTAGCTTCCGATACAGGTGGCTGAATTAAATGCCTTTGTTGCTACCACAATGGTTGTTGCCCTTTCAATTGTCAAGAGCATCATTAATGTGATGCCTCAAAGTCTTTGTAATCCTCCAATTATTTTTATAATGGGAGAGGAGTCTAAACCTTATTGAAAATGGACAAATTACGTTTTTACTCCTTAAACTTTCCGTTTTTTGTTCATCCTATTGGGTCACTTTAGTCTCTAAGATTATAGCATTTAATTTTTTTTAATAGAAAACACTATTTTCCATTTGACTAAATATATTTTTAATTCTTATACTTTGTTTGGTACGATGGAAATTAAATGGAATGATAGAAAGTTAGAAGGAGAGAAAGTTGGAAGGATAGATAAAACATTATGTTTGATAACGAAGGAAAATAGGAAGTCTGGAAAAGTAGATGAATTTGCTTTCTTTTCAGCTTACCAAAATTAATCCCTCTAGAATTAGAAGGAAAAGTGGATAAAAAATTAATTATGTGTGTTGAAATATATATTATTTATCTATATATCATTTAATATACGCATATATTATATTTATTTATTACATATTATGTATACATTAAATTTATATATAGATGTAATGACGAAATATGTATATATAATTTTTCATTCTTCCACTTTTCCATTCTACCAAACAAAAAAAAAATTAATTTTTCTTACTTTCCATCCCTCCAACCAAACACAAAGGAGGGAAAAAATGATTCCTCCCTTGAATAATAGAAAATGTATCACTCTCATTTTTCATCATTCCATTTTTCCATCTACCCAACCAAATACACTTAAAGTATCCAAGAAATAGTACATTAATTATTAATTTTATCACTTACATCCCTAAAACGCATGGATATTTTTTGTTAAGAGCACGTGATATTTTCTATTAAAGTTTGAAGGACCATGAAATTCATATTGAAAACATTAAGGGTGTAATTGAAAACTTTTATAGTTGAGGCACTAGTGTGATATTTTGCACACACTTCTGGGACAAATAATTTGCATGTGATATTTTAGTTACTTATTTAAAAGTCCATCATGTATTGAATCAAAGAAACACAAGTTGAAAATTTTATGAACTAAAGTGACACAATAAAAAAAATTAAGAATTAAAATAACACAACACATACTTTACCGGACCACTATCTTATTTTGTTAGTTGAAAAACAAAGGCTTTAATTTTATATCTTTTTTCAACCAACAAAAAGAAAATCATATGTAATGATGCACAAAATGTGTTTATGCACCATCTGTCAAGTATTTAATGCAGTAATTAAAAAGTAGACTCAACACAAATAAATACAAATTAAGTGGTTCAATCAGGGTGACTTACTCCACTATGAAGGGTTGCGGTGACCTGAGTGTTTTATTGGTCAAGGAGTGTAGAGTGTTCAGATGTGAGTCATCCCCCTTGTGTAGGTAGGACTTACAATTTATAGACGTCTCCTAACAGATTAAGGCGTCATTCTCGTAACAGGTGAGATAATTCGGTAGAAGTGGTGCAATTATCATAACTGATTCCGTGAAGCTCATCACATCCTCATAACGAATGAGGAGATAACAGGGCGATTCCTTGAAGCTCGTCTTATCTCG